TGGTGACTCGGTACTCGGACAGCACTTCGTTATCTCAAAACAATTTTCCCTTGACAAAACCTAGTATCAATACCACTAGGGTTTAGTCTAACGTTAACGGCGACTAATTAATATTCTAGCTATTATTACTATTATATAAGCGTTAAGTAACACTCTTATATAACTCATAATGATAGCCCAAATAATCATTTTAAGGTCCTAATAATGTTACTATAATTAATTAGAAGCTATATTAAAAATAGCGTAGGCGTAGCTCACTTACAGCGGGTTTTCTCGAAAAACCGGGATTTGCTTGGAGCAGCGTTTCCGAACCGAAAGACCCTTTTTCTCGCGGCTCTGGGAGCCTCGGGGCTTCCTTCGGGTGCTAGGGGGTTTACCTAGACTTTAGGGGGCTTAAGATAGGCTAGAGAGAGAAAGTAGTGAGAGAAAGAAGAGATTTTGGAGTGAGGAACTTGGCAGCCTTCGCACTCCCTTTTATAGGCGCAACCCTCGGACGAACTCTGGGCGTACCCTCGGTGGTACGCTGCGCGTAGGGACAGGTGTCTCGCTTCGGGTGGGGCGACGTGGACTCTTCTGGACCAAGCAATGCAGCTGTACCCGGGGCGTAACTCCTTCCGACACAGGGTGTACTTCGCATCTCAAGGCATCCTTCAGACTACGCGGGGCGTTCTCGGATTATGTTGGGCGTAGTCCTCGCACCAGCTGTCACCATCCGAAGCGAGGCGTGGGCAACAAGGAACGGCTGAGATTTGGCCACGTCATCGAGTTCGCATCAGGCTTCGTAAATTCATACTCCGACTTCAAAAATTCGTATCTTTCGCATACGAGCTCTGTTTTCGACGTTCTTTATATTCATGCGTAGGCGGGAACGTACTCTACAACTTTCGTTTAGACTTCGTCGGCTAATTTTGATTTATTTTAAAAGTTATATTTTTAACAGGCCGGGACAGGATTGGTCCGTTAAAAATTCATAGCTTCTTCATCCGACATCCGTTTTCATCTGTATTTTTATCGTCACGCTACTATTAACGAGATCTTGGATTCTCGTTTAGGTTATGTTGGCTAAAAACCGCTCGATCTAATATTCGAACTTCGGGTTGTACACTGCTAAGCCGAAACTTCGAAAAATCATAACTTCCTCATACGAAGTCAGATTTGGGCGTTCTTTTTATGCACGCTCTCGGTTTAACGTATTCTATGACTTTCGTTTAGATTGATAAGGCTAAAAGTCACTTTATCGTAAATTCACTATTTACGCTTCCCGGTGTCGTGCCGGTTTTGCCGTAAAACTTCGACGGACCATAACTTCTTCGTTATAACTCGGATTTCGGCGTTCTTTATATGTACGAAACCCTTGTAACATATACTACCACTTGGTTAAGATTATTCCTTCTAAATAAGCTTCCATAAAAAACTCATTTTTGATGCTCATTGTCTCTAAATTGACTAGCCCGGATCTACGGGCGTTACAATAAAATATAGTATTTACATCTGCTCATAACATAGTTTGTATGACGTTAACAGGTATAACAAAAGTATAAAAGACGTGACTCTATAAGGCTTCGTCTTCTAAAAATCCTGCAGTGTACCTGTCTACTGATTCCCTGAGAATACAAGTGATTTTGAAAGTGTATCTACATTTAAGTTGGTGAGTTCATAAGTATGTCTTAGTGATGGAAAACTTGTCTTTGTACTTTAAAATTACTAGTATGTTTTTCCATAAAATCCAATATTTTCTATAATGAATGTAGTGTAGTCATGTATGTTCCTTGTACATGTATGTTGTATTAGTGTACTCTGTATTAAAAAACAATGTATCATATCTGTGTTTGTATGAAAACCTTTGTTTGTATGCCTGGATACCACCAGTTGTAGTGAAAGTAGTGTATCATAGAGTACTGTAATTTTATTAAATAAAATAAAATTACTGAAGTAGTGTTAATCCCGTAAACATATGTGTTAGTTATACTGTTGTGAGTTTCATATAATCATGCTTGATATGACCTAGTGACCTCTACGACGTTCTTCAGGCGTCTGAAAGTTATGACATTTGTCACCCCAGGCCCTGCCGGCCTGACTGTAGCTAACAGTCGAGGTGCGGGATTGTCAGTCCCGTATAGATCTATACACAAATCTCACGCTCTCCCTCCAGGAGACTCTGGTTATAGTGTATAGGATTTAGTTCCGTACCATGATGGATACTAGTGAAGTAGTGCCCCACAACCCTGTATTAACTAGTTTACGTGTAGTGTAATGTACTCTTGTATTTGAATATGTGTGTATAACCTTGTAATAATGTACTTGTAATGTAAAATAATTCTACTTAAATAATTATTTAGTAGTGTATCCTTGTATCGATGTATTAGAGTAGTGTTTCCCAAACTATACATATTATAGTTTGCACGTAATGTTCCATAATGTACTGCAAACTTTTGCAATTTAGTTGTACGATGGAAAAATACCCTTATGCTCGACATGTTACAAAAGGGTTAAAAATATGTAATATTTTATGAAATGTAGTGAAAACTCGGTTTGAATTTAATTGCAAAGGTTTTTGAAACTGTTGAAAATCATTTGTATAAAAACAAAAGTCCTTGTGTTTTACTTGTATTCTCCCCCTAAAAACATTGAAAAACAGTGAAAAGGTAGGGGTATGAACTCACCTTTGTTGCGTGTTCGAGTCTGGACTAGCGAAGCGGTAGAGACGATCATCGGGCTAGCGTACGTGCGAAATAACGTTATCCTAAAATATTTGTATTCGACGTCGTATTTAAATTAATAAGAATATTAATTTAAATGAAGGTTAAATAATAATTTAATTATGTAAGGAATACTTACAAATTAATTGGAAATTATTTGGAATGATTGTAAGGTGTTTACGGTTGGCAGAAATGGGTTTACACTTGGAATAATGAGTTCACGGTTGGATCTTGAGAAAATTATGAAGATTTGAAGATCACATGAAGATTTGAAGGTGGGTTTAATTGTTGTTGATGGAAATATGAAGATTTGAAGGAATCTGGACGTAAACTCTGGAAGATTGAAAGAAAATGGGGTTGTTCACGGATGGAAATTGAGAGGATTTTGAGAGTGTTTACGGATGGGAAGTGTGTGAAATTTAAGTGTTTTCGCCAAAACACTTATATATAGGGGTGGTTTACGGTTTTGGACCTTCTAGAAGGGGGTGTTTACAGATTTGAGTCAAAAGGATAAAGGGTTTTCGGATTTTCGTCAAAGGAAAAAGGGGTTTACGGTTTGGGTTTTCACCTTTGGGGTTTTCGGATTTTGTTTTCACCATTTAGGGTGTTTACGGTTTGGGTTTTGGGATTTGATTCCCAAAACCGTAAACACTTATATACCCCTTAAATCCTTTTATTAATCCAAGTATAGCCCCTTAATTTTGCACTAGTGTAAGTTTGATTTGCTTTAGTATAATTCTATGTTAAGTATGAAGTTTATACTACCCTACTTCAACATGGTTTTCCCCATAAACTTGTACATAAGTTAAATGAACATGATTATAGTCTAGAGTTTTATTAATAGGAAATAACGGTTTGTTACAAGATGGCTTAAAGAATGGTTGTGCTTATGTTTATCTGTTTCATATGTCGATATATTGTGTTGGGTTGAGGTTGTACTGCTTTGTGTTGTAGCCAATAAACCCGTGAGTATTCCAGATATGAGCTAAGGGCCCGAATGGCATGCCAGACTCATACTAAGGGCCAAGGAGCGTTCCAGAGACTCATACTAAGGGCAATGGCATGACAGACTCATACAGGAGGGCTCGGGGGTAATCCAACCTATGCTAAGGACATTGTAGGGGTATTTCAGACATAGGCTGTGGACCCAGTATATGCTGTTATATGTGTGTGTGTGCTGGTACTTTGAGGGAACTTACCAAGCTTTGGCTTACTGTTTTTAGTTTATCGTTTCAGGTACTTCAGAAAATCGTGAGAAGGCAAAGACGTGATCGTACACAGCTTCCTGTTTTATGTCACTGGGTCCTCGGGAAAACTCTGATTTGAATAATGCTTTTGAAATAATGACTATTTTTGTAAACAATGTTGATGAATGGTTGATTTTGAAAATTTTATATTTACTGTGATTTTTGAGTGTTAGATTTATTGTTTGGTTACATAACCCACTTCTAGCTATTAGTTTGTAATTGTTTCTTTTCATAGCATCTTGCTATTTATAAAGAAAATAAGTATTTAAAAAAAATGGAAAACACAATACGAACATTATAATCATCCATGGATGATTACTAAATTCACAAGAATCATTCTAAACATAATATAATAGGAACAATGGTTTTTCGTTTAGAACAAAACGCTATACGAACATTCAAATACACAATATGACATGCCTTTCAAAAAATCCAATTCTCTTATTATTCACCGGGTCTTTCAGGATTTTCTTTTTAACTTTGAAAGAGAATAGGAAAGTTAGATGTCCCTTGATTTTACATGAAATGTTTTAGGAAACAAAGAATCGTGAATTCGCAGTTAATCTTTCGCCAGATAAATGGTTATTTGGACATTGTGTTCATCACATTGATGTGTGGGATCGTTGCTTACATCCTCTTAAACTCGAGAAGGTCCTCATCGATCTTAACCATTTAACACAACAATAATACATCTTTCACTGCTTTTACATGCAAGTTCTAATCATAAGAATTATGATTATAATCATTTAAATTATTGATATGGATAAAAGAATATTTGTAATTTGTATATTAAGATATTGCAAATATAGACAGTACACGACACACCGCACCACTGTCTGATTGGACGTGTGAAGAAACAAGAAGACCGTGCGAACACCTTTTTTCGGTAACAAAAATTAAAAATACAAAGTGAAAAAAAAAAAAAAAAGCAAAAGAAAGGAATTTACTTTTCCCCAAAAAATAATAAAAATATAATTTCCTTTCATCATTAATTTTTAAATTAATTATTAAAGCAACAAACGCAAGGACACCAAGTTGCTGGAATCTCGGTTAAAAAGCCAGAGTCCTATCCTCCTACTTCCCACTCGACTCTCCCTCTGTTTCTAGAGAGAGAAACTCACTCTTTTTAGAGAGAGAAACAGTTACCTTTCACACGAAAATGGCTTCATACTCCGCAACAACCAAATCGTTTACACTATTTTGCCTTGTCGTCTCTTATTTCCTTGCTGTTTTTACTGCAGAAGATGGTATGTACACTTACTTCATTCACTCTCTCTCTCTTTTCATTTTTATTTTCAATTGTCGGTGTTGTTCACTTGTTCTTGCTGTTTATCGCATTTGAGATCTGATTTTTCAATTCGTGTTCTGTTTGTGAGTGTTTTTGTTTACTGTATATGATAATATGAGATCTGTTTGTGTGTTTATGCGATTTAATTGCGTAAATGGAGTGAAATCGAGAGATTTGAGCTTCGTAATTTGAGATCATAGAGAAAGAGAATGTGTGTTTATACTTTATATTGTTGATTTCAAACAGCTTTATGTGTGTCCTTAGTTTTGTCAGTAAATCCTCTTAGCTCCCGGAAATCAAGTAATCGTGCAGATTTAGTTGTACTACAATGTACAAGTTATAATGCACACTAACACCTCTTTCGTTCTCAAAACTGTGGATCCCAACGAAATACTCATCTTTTTCAACTTATGTTTTGCATTTTTCACACACTTGCTCTTAATTTATGGTATTTATAGCAAAACATGACTTAATGTGCATGTTTATAATGAAACTGAAGAAAACATACAAAAATTATCATAAAATTCGTGCAACATTGCGAAATTATAGGTAGAAATTGTTATTTTAGGAGTTATTATACAAAATATGGGTAAGAAGTATTTGTAGTAACTTGTTTTTAAAGCATATAAACCGTTGTGAAAAAACTGCATGGCTTGAAGTCGTTTAGATTAGTGAACAACAAATTTTATATGATTCCTCTATGAAAAAAGGACATCGATTACATTGATATATAATTAATTGAAATAGAAATAACTGATAATTAGTAAAGATATTTACGTTTAGGTTATGTTTGCCAAAATAAGCTTGCTTAGTGTAATTTGTGGTTTAGTAAAACCCCAAAAACATATTTATTTTAGCTTATGAATTAGTTTTGATAAACTAATTTGAGATAGCTTTTGATAAGGAATTTTTTTCATAAATATTCTAAACATGCCCTTAATAATATCTATATTTCTTGTACTATTAGTTATATACGCAAATGTTTATTTATGTCATTTTACATCGTAATCAAGCTTATAAGCTATTTTTTTTACTGAACATTATTAATTCATAAACTAGCTTATCAATACTGACATTGTTAATTCATAAACTAGCTTATAAGTTATCACCTACCTTTGTTTGTCAAACAAAACCTTAATAAAAAATTTGTATATTATATTCAAGTACAATAACAATCCTTTATAATATGAGATATAACATATATCTTTCTTAATCGGTTAGTTGTCAATTTCGAAATTGCTTTTAATGGATGTCCTATCACAAATAAATGTTGTAAAAATTAGTAATTTTGAAAGAGAAAAAAAATCATATTTTATATTTTTAAAAATTTATCGAACACCTCTATATTAATAAAAGCTACAAATAATTTTACCAAATACATTGTAAAAGTGCATAAGGGAACTCACTTGTTTAATAATACATATTTATATGTATCTTAAATATATTTTTACTGTAAAACCTTATTATACCAACATGACAATAATGTAAATGGAGAAGAGAACGAAAAAAACGAGTATCAGATTAACCCAACTTTATGCAACCTCTTTAGTCCCACTTTTGACTTGTCTATCTCAATCATTACCCACTTCTAAATCATTTTTATAATCTAATCTAAGCTCTTTATGTTATCTAATTGTATAATTAATTTTAGTAATAAAAATATGTGCATTAATGTAGTTAAAGACATCTCATGATTGCTATTGCTATCACATGATATAAAAGTGGAATTTAATATATAGGTTTTTATAGAAAAAATGGCAATAAATTCTTTTTTCACCCATTTTGCATTTTCTTTGCAAACTACATTTATTACTGAAAAGATTGATCACCGATATGAGCGTTTTAGGAAGTTTCGGTTTGCATCCCCTTGTATTGTTTTATTTGCCCACCTAAAAGTGTCAAAATGTTACCTCTAACTTTATACTTTGTCACTTTCATCAAGATACAGCTATACAAGTACTTTTTATAGGGTATCTCCAATTCAATATCAAATTCTTCTTTTCTTTTTTTTGTATTAATTTTGGTATAATATTGTTCTAACCAATACTTGTTTCATGAAAAAAATATTCTTCTTAGTAAAGATCAAGTATCGTGTTATATTATTTGTTTAACGTAAAATACAAGGATTGTCCTTGAAAATCTATAAAATATAGAAGAAAAGTAACATATTTGTAACATATATTTTGTTGTTGTTTAAAATGGTGTAATGGGTTGGAGGAAAGTTATTGTGTTCACCAAATATTACACAATTTTTATCATTTTTGTGAAAAAAATTACTTAATGGGTTGGATTTGGTCTCAACTAGCCTCACATCCTAAAACTGTAAAAAAAATCCATATGATTCATAGAAAAAGATAATGATCACTCGAACATGGTCCATGTGATATCGTATCAGATAAACTCAAACATGGTTGCTTGTGCCTTTGTCTACCATTTGCATTTGTCTCTTGTCTTAGTACATCTTTATTGGTTTTTATGTAATATTTTCATTACTTGGTTGCACACCTTTTATATTACTTTCTTGTTAAATTAACTTAATTTTAAAAAACATGTAATTATTATATATGATAAAAAAATATTATATATAAATCAGCTCCTAAAACATTAATCTTGAAGTGATATAGTAATATAAAAAGGATAGACTATGATTTTAGAGACATACAATGTCAATTAAGTCAAAAGCATGTATTCTTTTTATGCAAATTGTCAAATTAAAATTATTGTATTTGATATAAACTTACTGAGATAAAGGAAGCATTTTCTATAAAGTAAGAATATTTATCTTTTTAGTATTATTATTATTGTACCGTTGTGTTTTACCGCGCAAATATGTAGGCCCGTTTTGTTTGTCATGGAATCTTTGACAATAAGTCATGTATAAAATAATAACAAATAATTAAATAAAATAATACTTATTATATAGTATAATAACTTTATTTTGTTTCGAAAATAATTTTTTTATTCTTATCCAAAAATATATAATATTTAGTTATAAGTTTCATTAGTAGTTTATTGTTTACTATTATTACACATGATAATCGATTTTCATAAAGGTCTATAATTTTTGTTACCTTTTCTAACCACCAACAAGGATATTAAATGAATACTTTTAGAGGTCCTAAAAAGAACTAGTTAATTTAACGTTAACCGTCACAAAAATGTTTTTCTCAATATCTATTGGGATAGAGTCATAAAATAATAATAATGTACCTTTTTATGTGTAGTATAAATCATTTAGCAAAAAAAACAGAGTACCTGTCATAAATTTTCATCAATAGTTGTTGTATTTTATTTATCTTTAAGTAACATACTTTGTAAATACTTCATCTTTGCAAATTTTAATACTAAAAAACTTCAAAAAAGTTTTTTTTTTTTTTTTTTTTTTTTGAAGATAGCATTTACGTATTTTTTTTTATTTTTTCTATAAATCAAAACCGTTTTGGTTGCCACATCATCATTCTAAATTGTTGTTAAAAAAAGACTAATTTTTGGAAATGGTTGATGGAATTAGACATATTTATCTTTTTTTCCCCAAATATTAATTTATGAAAAGAGTAAATGTAATATAACATAAAAAATCGTTTATCGGATAAATATATTTTTATTATTTCCCCCAAAAAAAATCTCCTACTCTAACTATTTCATTAAAAAAAAAAATTTGCAACCAATTTTTTGACGGAAATTTGGTGCATTCTTTTTCTCATCATATCCAAATTTATTTACATATTATACTCCTTTCTTTTTCTTTTAATAACAAAAAAACTATCTAATCACATAGGCTTACTAACCAACGGCGACTTCGAGACACCACCATCGGGAGGTTTCGCCGACGAAGGCCTCGGCGACAACCCCGACGCAATCCCAAACTGGAAAGTCAACGGCACGGTGGAACTAGTCGCCTCCGGTCAAAAACAAGGCGGAATGATCCTGATCGTCCCCGAAGGTCGACACGCAGTGAGACTCGGCAACGACGCTCAGATCTCCCAAGAATTAAAATTAGAAAAAGGCGAAATTTACTCCATCACTTTCAGCGCCTCTCGCACGTGTGCACAGCTAGAATCCCTAAACGTGTCTGTTCCACCTGCGTCACAGACGATTGATTTACAAACGCTGTATAGTGTTCAAGGATGGGACACGTACGCTTGGGCGTTTCAAGCTGATCAAGAAGATACTAATGTCGTTTTTACGAATCCTGGCATGGAAGATGACCCCACGTGTGGGCCCATCATTGATGATATCGCTATTAAGAAGCTTTTTGTTCCTACCAAACCTAAAGGTATGGTTTATTCTTTTACATATAAGAAATAGCTATCATACTTTTATTGATACTTTTAAAAAATCTATACAAAACCATTTTCATAATTGGTAGATTTTTAAAAGTATAAATACAATATTAAGATCAAAATTTGAGTAAATTGCAGTTCTAGTGCCCGAGTATAGCTAACTTTTGCAAATTTGGTGCCTGATCCCAAGTAAAATGACTATTTTTGGTTCTTTAAGTACAAGTGATTTTTGCAATTTTGGTCCTTAATAATCATTTTACTTGTAATTACAAAAACCTCGACCAAAATTGCAAGAGAACTTTTGGGACAAAAAAAATGAGAAACTCAACTATATTCAAGGACTAAAAAAGGTAATTTACTCAAAAAATTGATAGAGTTTTCAAAACAATATTGTAATAGAAAATATGAAAGTTGGATGCTATAATTCAAAGATAAATGAACACATGTTGAATTTAATCGGTAAGCCATATACGAGTGTTTCTTTTCGACTTAATGCAGAAAGAACATCTTAATAGAAAAATCAAGAAAATGAACCAAAGTTGCACTCATTAAAATTGGTCTTCATTTTCTCAAATATCTTTTAAACATTATTTATCCAGATAACGCAGTACTAAACGGAGATTTTGAAGAAGGTCCATGGATGTTTAGGAACGCGTCTCTAGGCGTCCTACTCCCAACCAACCTGGATGAGGAAATCTCATCCCTACCCGGTTGGATCGTAGAATCCAACCGGGCAGTTCGTTACATCGACTCAAACCACTTCTCAGTCCCGGGCGACAAACGCGCCCTAGAACTACTTTCAGGCAAAGAAGGCATAATCTCCCAAATGGTTTCCACCACCCCAAACAAGCCTTACAAAATGTCATTTTCCCTCGGTCACGCGAATGACATGTGCAAGCAACCCCTTGCAGTCATGGCATTCGCGGGTGACCAAGCGGAAAACATTCACTATGCGCCAAACGGGAATTCCACTTTTCAAATTGTGAATGTGAATTTTACGGCTAAGGCCGAGAGGACACGTGTCGCGTTTTATAGTGTTTATTATAATACGAGAAGTGATGATATGAGCTCTTTGTGTGGGCCTGTGGTTGATGATGTGGCGGTGGTGGTTTCAAAGGGGGTTAGAGGGTTAGGGTTTTCGGGTTTGGTGGTTTTTGTTTTGGTTTTGTTGTTTGTGGTTTAGTTTTTATGTTGTGATTTATTTGGTAAGCATTAAGCAAAGCTTTTGGTGGTTTCCACTTGTATGTAGTAATGGAATTGAATATTTATGATGAAATGGAATAGAATGAAGTATTTAGTATTATGATAAAATTGTTGTTTTTTGATGAATTTTTCTTCTATTATAAAATTATGAAATGAGAACAAATTGAATTCTACCATTTTTTAAGAATTTGCTTGAGAGGCCATTCAACATGATAATGACTTCATATAGTTAATGATCTATCAAACCCTTTATATTATTAAGGGTTGATGTCATAGCAACCCAACAAACTGTTAATTTTTTTTGCAAAAACAAAGAAGATAAAATTGACTCCAACAAAAAGCCATTCGTCAAATCTGTACATGTCTAATAGGGAACTTGGAGTCTACTATTCTGATGTTGATCACTCTTTCGTAGTGATCATGTACTCTTTCGTAGTGATCATGTGACAATGGCATGTGTTGTATTATCATGAAAATTCACATGTTTGTGGTCTCCACCTCTATGAACCATGAATGGACATCCATTATATTCATATCAAACATATCGAGAGGATTCGTATAACATGGTCATATGTTTATGTGAAGTTCCTAGCTTTTACGGATTAATATCCTTTATGTCGTTGAATCTGGTTTTAAGATGACCAAAACTATTGTTCCACTTTCTATTTGTTAGAATGCATACTATTTGGAATAATTGTGTGTCTCGGCTTTATTAATCTGAAAAGTATTTATAGATTACAATGAAGACTTCTATGCTAATACTGATACTATAATATGGAAACTATGTCAACGCAACGGAAACTCTATTAAATATAAATAAAAAAATACGATAATATCGAATACTGATATAATACTCTATAATATTGGTGTACATTTAATGTAAAATGCTCGAAAACTATAGTCTACAATCAAGTAACTTATCACATGGTCACAATAATCAACTTGGAATATACATGGACCCATAACATAAATTGTGTGACATATTAGCAATCAACCACATTGAGTTTTCTACATCATTATATATATATATATATAATATATATATATAGATATATATATATATATATATATATATATATATTATATATATATATATATATATATATATATATATTGTAGTTGTTGGGCAATTAATAATATATTACAACTTCTTATATAAGATCCTATGACAATTATTTAACATAAAGACATATAGCATCTCAATATTTTTTATATTATAAAAACATCAAAATCTTAAGACCCAAAATATTCATATCAAATGGTTTTGATGCTTCAAATATTTTTTTGCATTTTCAATAATACATACTCTAAACAAAAAAATTAGTCAAGTATTTTTCAATCCTATCAATGTAGAGACATTACAATAGGATGCCAAATGAATTTTGGATAAATTTATGAGAACTTAATTACTGATTTTTATTTACAACATAACAAGTTATTCAAAAATTGTTTTAGCCTAAAATACGAGTCTAAAACATCTAAACATTTCATTTTCCAAAATTTGTAGTACATCTAAACATTTCATTTTCCAAGATGTGTACTTTTACTTGGTCTGGTTTTGTGTATTGTAAGACCCTTTGTTTTTTTGAACATAAACATTGTTGTCATTCGAGATAGAAAATATGTTTTAAGATTCATAGAAAGTATAGTTGATTGATGTAAAATCTAATCAAACAATAAGATATGAACTTGAGTAGTAGGTTGAAAACATATATGGATTCCTTGAATATATTTCATCAACTTTGTCTGTCTTTCATGATATAACAGTCGAATCAGATCTAACAGTCGAATCAGTTCTTCAAAAAAGTAATGAAACTTAAAAAAAAAAAACACAATAACTTAAGTGGCCATTTTACATAGCATCACAAAAGTCGACCAAAACATTCACAATCCATCTCAAAATACATTTTCCTTTTTGCACATTATATGCATAATGGCCTCATATACCAAATATATAATATCAATTCACTTCTCTATATATAAAAATATCATTTGTCCATAGAGAATTAAACATTAGGAGATCCTCCACCTCCACGTCCACGTCCCATTGTAAACCCTTTTGTTCCATCCGGCATTCGTGGTCCAGGTGGCGGCTTTGAAACTTCACCCCCATGAATATGATTATTATTATTATGCACCAATGTCCCATGACCTATATTTACATATATTATTATTATTATTATTATTATTTATTATAATTATAATAAATAACCACATCAAAATGACCATCTTACCCATGCCAATGCCAATGCCACTAGCTCCTTGATACTTGTTTTTCCTTGAACGCCTTCGGTTTTGGTTTTGACAATTCCTGTTTCCGTTTTTCTCCTTTGTTCCATTTTGTAAAAAACTCCATTAGGTAAAAAAATATATATATAATTTTTTAATAATATTAAATTATTATTTATTAATACCTCTTCATTTAGTATATCATCATGATGCTCACTTGATTGTTGGTTTTCTTTTTCCATTGGTGGATGTGGATCCACTTGAACATTAATTTTCTTCTCGGAATCATGTCCTTTTTTTCTTTGTGCAATTTTGACCTAATTGTTATTAGTAAAATCATAATTATCAATGAAAAAAAATATAATTTATAAAAAAAAATGAAGAAAAAATGGATTACCTTGCGTTTGAGAAGCTTCACTCGCATGCCATGTCGCCAATCTTGCTCATTGTTTAAAGTAGCAACCTAAACACCATAAATTATAATATTATAATATAAATAGCATATAAATATGTAAACCATATAAATAAATATTATAAAAGGAGTTGCAATTAAAAATAAAGAGAGCTTCAAACTTACAGCATTCTCAGCAGCTTCAACAGTGTTGTATTCCACCACTGCATGCAGCTGCATACACCAATTAAAAAAAAACATTGATTTTAAATAAAATACATAATTCAAATAAAAAATAAAAGAAAAAAAATATGTACCTTACCTTTCCACTTAGAAGCTTCTCCTCAATACTGCATTTCCTTTGCTCCTTTGCAGCATTCTCTTCATGAATAGTAATTTTCTTGATACTAAAACAGCATTAGTAAACATAAGACAATTGACACATAAAAAGTAAAAAGATTAAAAAAAAAAGGTATAAAAAAAAGTAGCATACACTCCAGCTTGGCCAAATATCTTCTTCATGTTCTCTACTGTGTGATCTTCTGGAAGATTCTCCACCAAAACAGTGCATAGCTATAGGTATAAAGACAGAATTATTTCATTACATATTATGCCAAAAAGAAAACTTTTAAGTTTTTATAAAATAGATGAAAAAGGTGGAGTATATTGTATACTGTATACTGTATACTGTATAACTGTATACCTCTGGATCCAAAGCCTCGGTCAAAGGGAATGGATGAACTCGTTTGACTTTCTTCTCATTTGAACTTAATGTCTGCATCCATCAACACAAAAATCTAGCTTTGAAAACTAATAACACTATGTTTAGGATGATTATGATTTGAAATTAAGAAAGATTGTGTAACTTACTAGAAGAGAAGATTCCTTAAGTGCAGCTACAATCAGTGATTTGTGATGTGTGAGTTTCTTCATTTTCTTGAAAGAAGCAATAACTGCAACAGGAACTGCAAGAAAGAGTGTGTCATTTCCATGGAGATGATTGTGAAATTTAGTGAATTAAGTAGTGAAGTGAATTACTTACCATAGCCTTCCTCATCCTTTGCAAGATACTTCAACAAAAACTTGTCTGTTCTCAAGTTTTCATCACTGAAATAGTATTCCACCTGTGCATAAAGAGAGTGTATTTACTATTATGTTCCAAAAAAATGCACACATATATAGCTTTTAGAGATTAAGTCATGTCCCCATTAGGTTCATGAAGTAGAAAAGTAACAGAATCTATTTGTGTTTTCACATGAAAAAACACACTGTCGATTCGAGCATCATACCAAAGAAAAAGGAATTACAATGTGGTCCTCAGTAGACCAAACCAGATACATCAATGTTCTCCATCAATGGACAATAAGCACCCTTGGGTTGATTATATTGTCATAGAATAAGGTATCATGTCGTTTTCTGAAGAAGAGCAACTACCTTTTTAGGTTAATTGCTATAAACCAGCACAAATTGTAAAAATCAAATATATACACATACAGAGATACAAGTTTGTTTGACACAAAATAACACATACACAGACAAGGAATCGCTGGAAAGAAAGAGCAATTAATCGAGGCATGTTGCGCCTGATCGTATTATCAAGTAACTAGTAACGGATACTTATAAGCTTGCACAAACCAACCTAGTTACAGGCACAAATTTGAAGATGATTTGAGCCAAAATCGAATTCAATCGATATCTGGACATCCTAAAACCCTATAAGATACTCGAAGCACAATCACACATTACATATTCAAAAAATCTGGCATACCTGTTTGATGATCTTGTCCCGAAGCTCATCCGTTAGGGTGGCGGTATCGGCGGCCGAAGGAGGAGGAGGTGGAGGAAGTTCATCGGATTCCTGAGACTGATTCTCGAAGTGAGGATCCATGATCGTTTCCTCCGGCGAACCAACGGGGAGGACATCAGGATCATGGATTGGCATGATGACTTCTTCTCCACCGCCTTCCATTTGAAGAGAGGAGAGAGAAGACAGAGAGAGAGAAAGAGAGAGAGAAGGTTGGCGTAGAAAGCCTCTTCTTCTCTTTGCTTCTTCTGATCTCTGGAAGTGGAAGGGTACAACTGTAGGGCTTATAAGAGTGGCATACGACGGCCGCAACCGCCTCCCCTGGAAGACGCCATTCGTCTCCTCAGACCAGATATTTGCTATTTCCACTCCAGCAACAAGATTTTGCAAAATCATTTCTTTTTATGGAAACAAAGAGTATGTATTCCTTGGTTTTTTATTTCCAAATAATTTCCGGAAACATAAAGTCCTTCCAACATCATAACATCCTAAGCGTATTAGCTACTTGCGGTAAAGAAGACGGTATATCCAACCTTGTTAAAAACTTGGTTGACAATGCAAGGCTGGAGCAACAAGACAACAAAAAAGAATACATTCAGGAGGATAGAACACGGGGCGACATCAATGTCAGACAGTGTCTCTGTAAGGTTGCAGATGGGTATTTCATAGTAACAGTGAAAATAT